AAGACAATAATTTTGCTAATTCAGAGAGTTCAACTGGATCAAAGCAGTCTAAACCCGGTTCAGATTCCATGACTACACATATAAATACACATTCATATACACGATTCATATACACATATAAAAAATTTCAAACAGATGGTATTGGTATGGTGTTGGTATCGGCCAATACTGCACACACAGGTATCGGTATCGGGGTCAAAAAATGGCATCGGCAAAACACTATCAGATAGTCGGCTTGTGTTCCTTTAGATGTTTTTTGGTTCACTTTGTTCTAAGATCAAACTAAGCAAAGAAAATACCTGATGCTAAGTTTTCTGCCTATTGCGTGTAGATTCTTTGGTTTCCACAGAACCATAGCAGACTTAGATTGACAGTGTCCTGCATCAGTTTAATGTTTAGTTCATATTCAAGCCAGGTTTGTTTAGCTTTATCAGCTCATTGGTATATTTGCATAATGCTGCCTCTAAAGCAAGCAGTTATTGTTTTAAAAAAAACCTGTGCTATGATAATTAAAAAATTTAAATCCAGCCTGCTAGAGGCTAGACCAATCAGGATTTATGAACTTTTCAGTATGCTAAATTTACTGCTGGAATCTCTATGTAATTCAGGCTTCTTTCAAACATACCCATAACTTTACTCTGAAGGAAAGACATGTAACCAGTAACAAGCCTCCATGGTGTTTAATCAAAATTTTAGGTAACATCTCCTAAATGCTCACAGATTGATCTCTTATATAGAGCATTTGTGGGCCTATACTAAAATAAACAAAACAAACTGGAGGCTCATCAACTGAACATTGAAATTATAGTCTTAGCATACATGCTTAAACCCTTTTTAATTGCTTTTCCAGCCAAGTGACGACTCTCCTGTATAGCAGCTCTGACCCGGTCGCAGCTGATAGTCCACCTGACTGCAGTCCAGTCCCTCAACCTTATCCAGCTGTCTTGCCTTCCTCGTTAGACTGGGCCCTGGAAGAGAAGAAGCTGCCAGACTCCTTTGCATCTGAGGTAGAAGTTTTTTCATTGTTTACTAAAGTATGTCTCTGATGCTTTAAGTGAACGGCTACTTTATCTCCGTTCTCTTTTTGAAATGAAACCAAATAGGAAATGTGAATCTTTGTGTTTACAGATGCTACAGTTGCACAGTGGAGGCTTTACGCTGGAGCAGGTTGGCCACAGAATAGCACAAGCTATGAAAGAAGTAAACAAAGCTTTGTTTTATCTCCTCATAGCAGAATATTGCAAAACATAGTTTGTCAGTAGTGATGTGATATACTTAAAAATGTAAAATATAACATATAACTGGAATTGACTTTACAAAACATTTTAATTTGAATTTAATGTTTGGTAGATAATAATATATCAACCAATTATTTTTCAAAGTATCATATGTTCTTAATTAAGTACATAGAATTAATTAAGAACTAACGGGTTTGTTTGTGTAGGCCACTTTACCCCACTGGTTGGTCCACTTTGAGGCAGCCCTGTTTTGGCAGGCCAAAGGAAACGGAAGTCGTGCCTTGCAGTGTCTGCGTCAAGTGTTGAACTCTGCTCCTCCTTCCCACCACCACTTGGCCCTCACCAATGCTGCTAACATCCTGCTGCACTACGGTTTACCCACCCACGCACAAAAACTGCTGGATCATGTGTTGACACTCAATACATCTGAGGTAAAGGAAAAATGTTTTAAAGAACATGCAAGTGGAAAATCTGTCTCTTGAAACTATGCTTAATATTTTCATAAATGTCATACAATGTTTCTGAGAATCTTTCTACACTAAGAAGTTATGTTCAGGTTTGATTAGAGTTTATAATTACCAACAATTAGGTGTAGAGTGGACTGTATTAGATGATTTCGATTTTAAAGCTTTAAAAGGCACAAACTAAACTGTTTATAATGTATTCTTTATGGTACGCCAGCATTCATAACATGTAGGCAAATTACTGTCATCCGCGGTTATATTTTTTATATTTATATATTTTTTAAACAAAGTGTGTGTGTGTATGACGTCATCCGCGCGCGCGTGTTTAGTTTGTGCCTTCAACTCATTGCCCATAGGAAGACATTACTTGGATATAACCTAACTGAATATCTTGGGAACAGCTCCAAATTACACAAAACTCATATGGGTGAGTAGAACATGATGTAATAACGTAAAATCGAGGACCCAATGTAAAAAAAAAAAGTTCACCTTTAAGGCTTCTCGTGCCTCTACAGTAGAGACAGGAATGTAGACTGAACCAGAACTGTATGTCAGTGTATACATCTTTCAACAGCAATGAGATACAATAGCTCCCTTGGCATTTAACTTACTCACCTTAGACAATATCAAGTGGAAACATCTCAGACACTTGAGATAAATCTGTTGATGCCTATGTCTGTAGCATCTAGTGAGCTTCAACTTAGTACATGATACAACATGCAAATCCATTAATGGGAGAAGATTTTTTTTCTCTACAGCTGCACAAGCCGTCATTAGGCAAAGCTTTGATCAAGGTTGTTGAAATATCAGAAAAATGATTAAGTGATTTAATATCATATAAAGGCACAGACGTTTGTCAACCATTTTTCATATTAACATTGACTGTTATTAGATATTTAAATTTTTATATAATCTAAATATGCCGTCTTATACAGCTTTATTTATTAAAAATAATCCAGTCAGGGTATAGTCTGTTTATTGTGACCTACCTTATTCATTTTAAAATTATTGAAGCCAAATTAATTTCAGAAATGACGAGATATTTTATATTTAGTGTTTGCTGGATTAAAAGTTTTTATTTTTTTCATTTACGTTTTTTGTTTTAAGATAAACAAAAATTTATTAAACTGTTGTGATTGCTGTTGAGTACCTATTGCTTATGAATTACTGTACAGAACAGATACTGAAATGCTTTTTATATTACATTTGATTCTTCTTTATTTTAAAGAAATGAACATGTCTTTACTCAGTTCATTTTAAGATGACTTACTGATGTAATATTTGACATAAGAAACCTGCATTATTTCATGAAATTTAATTCAGATGTAACTTTAAACACTAAAATTAGGAAACACATTTATATTGTTGCATATCATGTTTGTCTCTTAAGATGGAAGATGTCTGTTTAATATGAAAGTCAGTCTAAGTGATATTGTCCCCCTGTTATTTTGCTTTCCTCCCTCAGCCACACGCCCTGTTCAGCCTGGTGAATGTGCATTTGGCACAGAGCAATATAACTGGTGCCCTGGCCTTGTTCCGCCACATTCTGGAGGCAGCCCTGTCCTCGTCTTCTTCCTTCTCATCCTTTGCCAGTTGTGAACAGTGTCGCACCAGCTTGCCTTTACTACGTTGTCTTCAGTTCTACCCCTCCCTTTACAATCTGTCCAACCGGCAGCATTGCTCACGTAAGTACTTGAATTGTGCTGAAAAATACAAGCCTTTGTGATTAATTAACTGTGCAGGTATCAATTAACATTTTACACAGTAGCTAAATATGCTTTTATTTTACAAAATTCTAAGCCATTTTACTGGCTTGTGTCAACTTGTCTGGAAGCATTTTTGTGAGAATATTGTCTGTTAACAATTTAGATGTCAAATCAAGGTGGATTTATTCAATTCATTTCTTTTAAACGTCATATACCTAAATACATTCAATGTATTTTTTTTCTTTAAAATGAATTACTACCTGTCATCATTTGTCAAGCTTTTAATATTTAAAAATTGTAAAGATTTACTGATCTTAAACAATAAAAAGGCCTTTTGATTGTTTTTTTTTTCAGTTTTTAACAGGTCCACTGCATTTAATGTGCTTGTTACAGAGCCACAAGGTGGTGTTATAAGCCAACAAGTTGATTGCCAACTACCACAGTGTTTTTTTGTAGCATCTGCAGAGATTTTTCACAGAGGTCTAAACAACTGCTTTCTGTTGAAAAGATAAACTAACTGGTGTCTGTGTGATATAAGGGGCGCCCGTTATAACCCCTCTCTTTGTCCCTACTGAGAGCTGGCAGAGTTGCTATAAAAATGCTGTACTACATGATGTATTCTTTATTTGAACAGAAACGGGTTTCTTTTTGTAGTGCAGCTGAGGAGAAAAGTGCCTTTAAGTGGAGAAATTCTCCCACTCAATAATTTAAGCACCCGAAAATAGCTAATGGTAACTTTAGATAGGACTATATTTAACTCTCTGAAGCTAAATATTGTTAGCTCTGTTGAAACAGGCCTACCTTTAGGCAAGTGTTTAAGTTAGAGTTGGATTTCGATAGCAAGTAGCCTTTTAAAGATTAAAGAGGTGGTTGTTTTCTATTTGAACAGAAACATATCGACCTCTTTGCTCATGCTCTTAAAATGAGGAATCACGCGGTCTGTTTTTAAGATAATCTACTAATCAAAATTGTACAGCCGTTTACTTTCTGTTTATAAATGGAGACAATTCTCAAATGCAATTCCAAGCCTTGAAGGAACCGTAACACAGATAATTTTTTGCGCTCAAAAAAGGAGCGTATTTTTTGTTTCCCAAAATATTACATTTTTTGGATTATGCTGTCAAATAGGTTTCCGGATTCCTTGTGAATGTAAAAATCAGCCCTTTCCTGTTTCACTCAGGTTTAGTGCAAATTACTCTTCCACAGTTGCTTAAAAAAGTCTATTATTGTTTAGGTTGTATTATAATCAGAACTTGAACATCTGCATTGAAGTTAACAGGTTATTTTACATTATGTTTTATAAATCTTTAATATGGATTTTAACAAAGTAATAAATCTTTAAATCCTCACTGGAGATTTGTTTGTGGTGATCCAGAGGATAAACCCTGCTTGACTGAGGAAGACTTCAGCATACAGCTGGAGGAATGGGAGGACAGTGAAGAGCGACCAGATGGAACTGCCAGTCCTGCTATTGAAGACACGCTGCTCTTTGAGAGTAAGAACTGATTTTCATTGATGCCTCCATTACAATAAAAAATCTAAAAAGTACTGTTGGAAATAGTTTGATTCTAGATACATTTTGGGAAAATTCTGTTCATTTAGTATTATGAGGTTTCACATTTCATTTTATAAAAAAACAAAAATTAAAGCATGTCAACTTTTCTTTATTTTGTTACATCAAAGATCCATTAGTATGAGGACATTGCTTCCAGTTCTACTCATTTTGATATTTCCTTACAACAGATTTTCATCAGTATTTGAGACAAAGAGGCAAACAGGACATAAAGTTTTATATAGAAATAAACATTTCATGCATTTATTACCAGAGCTGAAAACCGTTTTGTTTGTTAGTTTACTCTCATAATAGTGCTGTTAGTTTGTTAATAATCTGTAATGGCTAAAAATGTTGACTGCAGATGACATTTTGATCCTCATGAAATTTTTGTTTTGTTTTTAATTCTGTCTCTTTGTCCAGATGTCGTCCTGGACAGTAATGGCTCAGGTGAAGCAAAGACACAGCAGCAGGCATCTCCCTCCAACGCAGGAACTTCTAAAATGTCTTCATCCTTTGGAGAAGGAAGAGTGGAGAAAGAGGATGAGTGGCAGCTGAAGGAGGACCTGATGGGAGCATTCGAGGGAGCACTGGATGTGGGAGGGAAACGTGGAGACTTACAAGGTATAAGAGTGCTGAAGAACGACCGAGTCATGGGGGCCCGTGCTGGAAGCGGACCATGTTTTGGAAACTGTGAGGATGATGATGGAGCAGAGTGGGTAAGTGTGGAAATAAAGCTGCTGCTCTTAAGTATTAACAATAGTTGACGAAAAGTGATTTAAGTGATTTTTGAGATTAGCTAAATGTGTTTTTGGTTATTTCTCCCTGTGTTTAGATCACCTTCCAGGTAAAGCGGGTGCGGAAGGCTAAGGCAGATGGATCAGAGAGTGCTACCGTCTCCGAAGAGGGTCAGAACGAGGAGTTTCTACCTGGAGGCAGCTCTGTACTGGAAATCAGTGGTCCAACTATTCCATCTCCTGGTCCTTCAGGTAGCAAAAAAACAACAACAAAAAACACTTTCCTTGCACCTGCAACAGCAGAAACAAAGCGAAAGGTTCACTATAAGGATTTTTTTTTTGTGCTTTCTGAGCAGGTCGCTGGAGAGACTATACAAGTCTTGGCTGGCCTGGACCAGAGGAGTGCCAGCGTACACGGAGGGTTGACCTCACTACTGTCGCTAGTACTTGGTTGGCTGTTTCTGCCAAGAATATTGAGTAAGTCTGTCAAAATGGTAAACACAGCCACAATCACTATACTTAGATTACGTCTCATGTTGAATTAGCAGCATGTTTTACAAGTGTGTGTTCCTTCTGTAGCATCACAGAGCACATTGACTTTGCAACCCCGCTCCAAGAGCCTGCAGCTGAGCCTTTATGCAATGCCAACCTAGCTGCCAGTATGCACACCCTTGACCACCTGGGAGGTGTAGCCAACCGTGCCTCCATCCACTACACAGGGGAAGCCCAGCTGCGAGAGGTACACTGGAGCTGAGACCATTTAATGTACTAATAAGCAAAATAAGTTCAGTCACTATGTCTGAGATTGAAGCTGCAAAATGGCTTTTAGAAAGCTGTTAGCTGCTGTTATTAAAGTAAAATGAAACAAACAGGATCATATTAATGTTGTTAGAAGTCATTCTTATTCTGTTATTTAATAAAGTCCAAAATATGGTATTACTTTCTAAGTTCTTCAAAGAACTATATTGTGTAGCCCATCTGTCATATTTTATTTAAAGCCTCACTTGTGGCTTTTTTTTATCTCTTAAGGTCCTGCAGAACCTTGGTAAAGATAAGTTTCCTCCCCAATCATTTGAGCAGGTGGGAACACGCATTGCTAAAGTTTTGGAAAAGGTAAGTACTGTATTACGAACAGTAAACCTGTCTTCAGTCCTTTTATTAAGTCAGTTTTTTGTCATTTTAGAGATAAAGAAAAAGCAAAGTTTACAGACTGGCAACTGTCAGAGTTTAGGAACTTTACAGTTTTTTAGTTTGCTTGCTTCCTTATTTTTACAGTTGTAAAAAATAAAGTTTTTCTGTACTGTTTAAAGTAGTGTCAGGAAAACAAATGACTAAAATGATACTAACACCTTCTGACTAGATTAATTAAAGTTTTTTTGTCACCAATCAGAATCAGACATCTTGGGTATTATCCAGCATGGCTGCACTGTACTGGAGAGTGAAAGGTCAAGGCAAGAGAGCCATCGACTGCTTGAGGCAAGCCCTCAACTATGCCCCTCATCACATGAAGGCATGTTAGACTCAATAATTTTGTTTTTTCTCATTTAGCTAGTATGTGTATAAATAACACATTTTTATTGTATTTCCTTCTGCTCTTGAATCAGGATGTACCACTCATCAGCTTGGCCAACATCTTTCAGAATGCTAGGTTATGGGAGGATGCCCTAACAGTAGCCCGCATGGCTGTAGAGATTGCACCGCACTTTGTTGTGAACCACTTTACCCTTGCCAACGTCTATATTGCAATGGTAACCGTGTTTGTTCTCATAACGATATAAAATACTCAGTATCTCTGGCCTTGTTTAGCTGGTGATGTAAAAGCACCTTAAACAATTTCTCCTTTTTGATCACATTGTGTTTTTTTTTTCCTGATAACAGGAGGAGTTTGAGAAAGCCATGCACTGGTATGAGTCCACTTTGAAGCTACAGCCAGAGTTTGCCCCAGCCAAAGATCGTCTTAGGACCATCCAGTGTTACCTCCTGACCAAGAGAGAGCGTCGTCAGCCTTCACCCTGATCTCAGGCATATCCAGTTATCGTGAACACGTCACATACATGCAGACGTTCTCTACCGCAGAATAATTTCAGAAATTGACAACATAGGAAAGTAAAAAAAAAAAAAAAAAAACATCTGTCAGAATGTTGTGTAATCCAGGCCCTTTTTTCTGCATTGGTGGTTAAACCCACCCCTACAATTGAGTATAAATGTAGATTGATTAGTCCCACATCTGCAAGACCTTTCCTATTTATCAATCAACAATGCGTAATGTGAATATCATGTTTTTGTTTTCTATTTTTTCTTAAAAAATATAACGGGGATCTAAGTGAGTAATGCTTTTAAAGTTCAAATACCTCTGGTGTAACTTTTGATTCAGCTTGGGCCAACCAGAAGACTTATTATCGTCCTTCTTGAAGACATTCTGATAATGGAAAAACAACATCAATAATAACCATGTTTTTGCTCTGCTGTTCTAGAGCATAATGAAATTTAATCGTCTTAAAGGTGGTGCAAGATTTAAATATAACTTATTAAAATTCTAACTGAAAGGGATGTTATACAGTGTTTGGCAAATACCTTTTGCTGAGAAAAACGGGAATCTGCTTCTAAACTCAGAAGTTAAACGGGTTTAAATTGAGCGATAAATGCCCTCTCTGTGCTTCTTTAAATAAATGGGAATTCTCGGTTTATGCACTTTTTCTTTTTATCATTCCTATTTATATGGGACCTACAAACTGATTTTGCTACGAGCTAATTTAAAAATAAAAGGGTAAAAAATTATATGCTGTACCATTTCCTAATCAACATGGGGAAATTACCTGGCATAAAAGGATTTGTCAGTCTATAAAAAAGTGACATCTGTATTAAATGTACAGTATTAAAGTCAATGTGTGGATTTCCTTTTCTTTCTCAGTGTTAAAACAGTGTTGTTGTATTTTTTAAAATCTTTTTAGGTTCAATTAATCTACAGACAGCATCTGCGTATTGCTATGAAGTGCTGATTTAAACTTCCCGATAGAACCTCTAGTAAACAGAACTCTGACCTCTTGGTGGTGCTGCTGGACCTTTTGTTGCCATACACAACTTACCTGCTTCTACAACATCCCCTCTATGCTGTAATGGCACCATTTTATAGTATTCCAATTCAAAAGGGAATATTAGGTACTGATGAGACATTGTTTTTAAAGGAAAGGGCAGCATTTACAATATTCTGGGAATATTAACCTTTTTCATATTACAACATGCAGATCCCGAATTCTTTGCAATGAATTGTATTATTTTTGGTGCTAAGCTTCATCCATTCTTGCTTGAACAAAATAAGTCAGAGACGTATCCTCAGATCATTGGTAGTTTCTGAGGTTTTTGTTATCACATATAACAATTAATTACAAATATATTGCAAGCACTGAACTATTTTGTTACAAATTTTTACATTTGAAAAATGTGTATGTAGCTAAGGAGCAAACTATTGTCTTATCTAAATCTAGATAGCAGAATGTGTCATTTAAATATCTTTCCATGGTCCAATATGACATTAAATATATGTTTATCATGAATGAAATGCCCAAACATTAGTTTCCCATAACGTTTGGCCATCTATGCACCCTATGCTAGAAAACATTAAGAAATACTAACTAGCAAAAAACATCTTTTTTTTAACTGGTTGTCATCAGACTGTTAAATACATGTGAGCAAAATTGTTGATACCCTTCATTTAATGAAAGAAAAACCCTCATTGATCACAGAAATAACCTGAATCTGACAAAAATAAAGAAATAATTCTAAGAAAATAAACAGATAAAAGTCAGACGTTGATTCTCAGCTATGCTTTAGAATGCTTTAAAAAGCGTATGAAACAGTCCTTGAAAAAAAATAGTGGTAGCACTAGAAAAAAAAATGAACAAAAGGACATGTTAAATTAAGGTATGTCCACTAATTAGCATCATAGGTGTCTGCAATCTTGTAATCAGTCATGGGGCCTATGTATGTATATATATATGTATATATACACACACACACTGCTCAAAACAATTAAAGGAACACTTTACAAAACATATTAGATCTCAATGGGGAATAAAATAATGCTTTTTATTTATACTGATATGGAATTGGGTGATGTGTTAGGAACAAAAGGATGCCATATCATTTGATGGAAATTAAAACTATCAACCTACAGGGCTGTATTCAAAGACACCCCAAAAATTGCAGTGAAAAAAATGATGTGGCAGGCTTTTTGCTGATATTTCATTGCAGCAACTCAAAATGGTATTCAGGAATTTGTATGGCCCCCACGTGCGTGTATGCATGCCTGACAACGTCGGGGCTTGCTCCTTATTAGGTGACGGATGGCGTCCTGGGGTATCTCCTCCCAGATCTGGACCAGGGCATCACTGAGCTCCTGGACAGTCTGAGGTTCAACCTGGCGGCGTTGAATGGATCAAAACATAATGTCCCTGAGGTGTTCTATTGGTTTTAGGTCAGGCGAGCGTTGGGGCCAGTCAATGGTGTCAATTCCTTCATCCTCCAAGAACTGTCTGCATACTCTCGTCACATGAGGCCGGCCATTGTCGTGTACAGGAGGAACCCAGAACCCCCTGCACCAGCATAGGGTCTGACAATGGGTGCAAGGATTTCATCCCGTTACCTAATGGCAGTCAGGGTGCCATTGTCTAGCCTGTATAGGTCTGTGTGACGCTCCATGGATATGCCTCCCCAGACCATCACTGACCCACTACCAAACCGGTCCTGCTGAACGATGGCAGCATAACGTTCCCCACGGCTTTTCAAGACCCTTTCACGTCTGTCACATGTGCTCAGGGTGAAACTGCTCTCATCTGTGAAAAGCACAGGGCGCCAGTGGCAGACTTGCCAATTCCAGTGTTCTGTGGCAAATGCCAATCGAGCTCCACGGTGCCGGGTGGTGAGCACAGGGCCCACTAGAGGATGTCGGGCCCTCAGGATACCCATGTGAAGTCTTTCTGATTGTTTGGTCAAAGACATTCACACCAGTGGCCTGCTGGAGGTCATTTAGTAGGGCTCTGGCAGTGCTCCTCCTGTTCCTCCTTGCACAAAGAAGCAGATACCAGTCCTGCTGATGGGTTGTAGACCTTCTACGGCCCTGTCCAGCTCTCCTGGAGTAACTGCCTGTCTCCTGGAATCTCCTCCATGCTCTTAAGATTGTGCTAGGAGACACGGCAAGCCCTCTGGCAATGGCACGTATTGATGTGCCATCCTGGAGGAGTCGGACTGCCTGTGCAACCTCTGTAGGGTCCAGGTAGCGCCTCATGCTGACA